AACAAAAAATGTTAACATCGAAATATCTCGGAAAGTTATTAAGCAAAATAAGTCGTGTTTGGATGTATTTTAAAGGATTTTTCGTTATCATAAAATTCGCTTTTAAAGTCATAATTGTCATTATTTATTAGTGTTTTGTTTTCGGCCAGTTTGATTTTATAAAAAACAAAGATATCTCGGTGGTTCTACAATATGATAACGTATCATCCTCGGCTTATTCGTCCAGAATCATACAACTCATCCGAGGTTGTAGTTATTAAGCCAAGGTCGTTTGTGAAAGATGCTTAATGTTTAAGCTTATATCAACTTAACACTGGCCATCATAGTATAACGCCTCGGTTGGGTGCTGTTTCAGCTTTGTCAAGTGAAGATGTAGATCGTTTGCCTAATTTTTTAAAGGAAATGTTGCCTGATTTAATGTTCCTTGGAGAAGATAGGCCTAACAACTTTGAAAATTTAAAGGTTATAATTTTTGTTTATTTTATATAGATGATTAGATGATTATGAGCAGTTCCAGGAACACGAAAAAGCATCACCCCGCCTAAGCTTAAATACAACATTACTTAGACTATTATTTATACAGATTCCTAAAATTCCCCTTACAAACTTCTTTGACTTGTAGTAAATAATATTTTGAATTGCAACCCATGTCCGGAAAAGTACCGTTTCCGTGCTATAGCCGTTTCCGAACTAGGCATGACCCAGTACATAACTTGTTTAAATTCATAAAATCATTAATAACCAAAAAAGAAAACAAAAAAGAAAATGAATCATTTTACACAAACACTTTTATTTAAGCCGACGTTACACGTAGCAGTCGACTGCTATGGCAGTAACTATTATGGGGCGTGACTGTTACCGTCAAATTTACGTGTATTTACTGTGATAACAGTACTTCTAGGGGATGTTAGATACGTCGTCAGCTTATTTTTGTCAGTCAAAAGTGATATTGTAACAGGGCACTAACTAGAAAAGAACGGGCGAGACGTGTTATGATTTGTTTACTATTAAAACAAATAGATCTCTATTAAACGATTTATTAACGACAGACTCGCTCCATCACACTTGGTGTATCTGTAATCTGTTCTGCAGCGACCTTCTTCTGTCTCTATAGGGGTCTCATAAATCAAACTCTTCATATGATTCCATAGGAAAAAGTCCAATGGAGTTAAATCCGGTGATCGTTGAAGACCAATCTAAGAAAACAACAAAGTGACATGAGGGACGAAAACTTTTGGAATATTGTTGATAGAAATAAATATCCTATTTTAAGAGCATTATCTCTTAAGATACACGCGTATATCCATATTTTCAACAATGAAGCACTTGAAATCAAAATATAGAAGCAGAATGACAAATATCAATTTGGACCATTGTTTGAGGACAGATACATCAAATTGTGAGCCAGATTTCAACAAGCTGTCGGAAGCAATGCGAGGTCAAGGATTATTAATTGTTGAAATTACTAGCAACTGCTATTGACTTATGTATTATCTATGCCTCATGTAGGTGCCTAATAAATATCTTCTTTATCCTTGTCTAAAATTTTATTTGCGTCAACCATTCATGCGCCCTTCAGGAGTAAATTATTTTAGAATGAGCCCTTAGACTGGATAAGGTTGCCGACCGCTGGTTTAGATGATTCCGAACATGAGGTAAAAAGTGCGCCATCATGCTGAAATTATATGTCTTGATGAAAGTTCTCAACAACACGTCCAATACTTGTTGTACGAAGATCAAGTAGATGGAACCCATTAGCCTGGATGGCAAAATGTACCAAATCTGTGTTGGAATCCCTGAACACGCGTAGCATGAGGGTTTTCGTCTGCACAACTACGTATAGAACTAAACGCGTGGTGTAAAATCGGCTGGCAGTAGCGAATGAATCCTTTGGAGGTGGTATGAATGTAGTAGTTGTTCATACAGAACATTCCAGACGATACCGGAAGCAACATCCATTGCACGCACATTGCTCGTGTAGTCGTTGACTCGTTGTACTCGGTTTTCTTCAATATGGTGCAGTATGACCTCTTCCAATTCGGCAGTACATCGTTTCCTTGGAGAACCACAATTATTCCTACAGGCGGTGAAGGTATCTCTTTCTCCAAGCCGTTGCAAAAATCTTGATGACGCCATACAAAAAAATGAAAATGAGAAAAAAAAAGTGAGAATGAGCCTCAAACCAACTACGAGAAGTAGGAGACGTCAATTCACATCACCTCATCCGACGTAAATACCCTACGTCATGTAACTAACCAAATCTGTTTTCAAACGGCTGTAGAACGGAAGCGGTACGTTTCGGACATGGTTTTTTTTTTGTATGGCTCTGCGAGTTAAGAGTATAAGATACACTTAAAACAAAAATATTTTTTTGTTTTAAAAATAGAAATATCATCAAAGTATGTCATATTCTTAGCATAAAAGAATATCATTTTTGTATCAAAAAATTCATTCTTGCGTCAATAATTTATAATACTCAAATGAAGAATTATACAAGATTGTTGTTACATGAATCGATACGAAAATGGGATTGTTGACGCAACACTAAGATGCTGTTTTTCAAGATTATTGATTTACTTTCACTAAGAATTCGTTTTCTTGAGAATCAAGAATATTTGCATACTTGCTTTGAGAATATGTGGTTTTTCTTCACTCAACAAAATGATCTTCTTGTGGATATACAAGAAGGTTTTCGAGAATATATTTCTCTCTGAGCGTCTTAAAAAATGGTAATCTATCAATTTTTATATTAAAAAAAAAACAACACGTTATTAAGTAACAATACTTGAAGTTTTGATAAAATTTTCGATGTTGCAATTTTCATCGATAATTTTCAAAATTTGCTATGAAATTAATTTCTTGAAGGATCCTTGTGGAAATATCGCCAATTATTAATTAAAGTATCCTCTTCTTAGAGTTGCTTCGTTAGTTAAATCAGCATCAAAAAAGTTCATTTTGTATCTTGGATCCAAATAAGTTGACATATAAATATCTTTTTGAAATGATCGACAATTTTTTCGAATTTTGCAATTTTCGCCGATTAAGTTTTAAAAATTCGTATAAAATCCATTTCTTGGAATATGAGTATGAAAATTTCCCAAAGTGTTAATAAAAGTGTCCTCTTTCCAATGAACCAACCCGTTTTGAAAAATAACTTTTAGTTTTTGAGAAAACAATATTTGAAGTTTTGATAAAATTTTCGATGTTGCAATTTTCATCGATAATTTTCAAAATTCGCTATAAAATTAATTTCTTGAAGGATCCTTGTGGAAATATCACCAATTATTAATTAAAGTATCCTCTTTTTAATGCAAAAAGCCGTTTTGAAAAATCACTTTTAGTTCTTGAGAAATAAATTTTTGAAATGATCGACAATTTTTTCGAATTTTGCAATTTTCGCCGATTAAGTTTTAAAAATTCGTATAAAATCCATTTCTTGGAATATGAGTATGAAAATTTCCCAAAGTGTTAATAAAAGTGTCCTCTTTCCAATGAACCAACCCGTTTTGAAAAATAACTTTTAGTTTTTGAGAAAACAATATTTGAAGTTTTGATAAAATTTTCGATGTTGCAATTTTCATCGATAATTTTCAAAATTCGCTATAAAATTAATTTCTTGAAGGATCCTTGTGGAAATATCACCAATTATTAATTAAAGTATCCTCTTTTTAATGCAAAAAGCCGTTTTGAAAAATCACTTTTAGTTCTTGAGAAATAAATTTTTGAAATGATCGACAATTTTTTCGAATTTTGCAATTTTCGCCGATTAAGTTTTAAAAATTCGTATAAAATCCATTTCTTGGAATATGAGTATGAAAATTTCCCAAAGTGTTAATAAAAGTGTCCTCTTTCCAATGAACCAACCCGTTTTGAAAAATAACTTTTAGTTTTTGAGAAAGCAATATTTGAAGTTTTGATAAAATTTTCGATGTTGCAATTTTCATCGATAATTTTCAAAATTCGCTATAAAATTAATTTCTTGAAGGATCCTTATGGAAATATCGCCAATTATTAATTAAAGTATCCTCTTTTTAATGCAACCGGCCGTTTTGAAAAATCACTTTCAGTTTTTGAGAAAAAAATTTTTGAAATAATCGACTATTTTTTCTAATCTTGCAATTTTCGCCGATTATGTTTTAAAAATTCGTATAAAATCCACTTCATGGAATATGAGTATGAAAATTTCACAAAGTGTTAATAAAAGAGTCCTCTTTCCAATGAACCAAGCCGTTTTGAAAAATATCTTTTAGTTTTTGAGAAAACAATATTTGAAGTAGACCACTCAAGTTACAGGTATAAAGGATATATAAAGGCCCCTCTTCCTTTATCCAGGATATTTTTTATTGGTTATTCTTTAATTCGTGGGTGTGTTAAATTGTGCTCTTTTTGTTTAAGAGTTATCTCTCTGATAGAACGCTAAATTCATTCTATACTTCAACCATAAATAGTATTACTCGAATTAACCACTTAAAATTTAAATTAAATTCTTTGTTACACCGCGACACAATTTTCGGTGTCATTAAATTGCAAATAAACACAACGTTATCTTTTTAAATACATATAATAACTAATTTTGCATTTTCATAGCGAATTGCAATGCAAACGGGTATCGATTAACCCGAAACGGAGATTATTCAGTAATAACTATTATCTGTTCGTGCTAGAATATGCGAGATTATGCTGTCACATAGCTGTGATGACCGGGAATTATGGGTTTTCACCTGTCTAATAACAGTTGTAATTCACTCCACCTTTAAAAATCCCTGAAAAATGAACCAACACCTTGTTACAGTAAAAATCTAGACTCGAAAGTCTCCAACGTTCAAAGCGAAACGATAAAAAACGTTTTATCAAAGGGAATTCTTTAACGTTTTATTTTTAGCCTTTGGTCTTCTTTTGAATACCTCGTCGTCGTCGTTATCCTCGTTTTATATCATGGAAAAAAGTAGTTTGGAAAGCGAGAAACTTTCTAATCAAAGAATTTTTCTTTTCTTTCTTACCTTCGCGACTGTTGAGGAGTACGGTTCGTCGAATAACGACCAAATTTTCGGTTTGGTGTGTTGCCACCAAGATAGAGTTCCATTTCGGTAGTCCTCTTCGAATCCGAATTTTCGGGCTACCTCCTCATCGCTTGGTTTATCCGTATCCAAATCTAAACGATCGAGTACTGCAAGTGTTTCTTGAGTATCTCTGTGTTGAGTGTAGGTCATCCAACAACATGGTTCAACTTGATTCGCGTCTAACCCCCAAAATTCTAATTCTTCCTCAAATAATGGACCACACACGTCTGAGGGATAATGTAATTTTCCAGTCCTAAATTTTAATTGAATTAATTCAACGAAATTTGAAGCTTTATTTGGTTTACCTGTAATAATTCAAGACTTGAGCAAAAACTCCTGGATGTCTGTCGAAGAAGTATTCGTTTAGAATGGGGTCGTAATTGGCTAAAGCTTCTGTAAGCCTGGAAAGTCTTGTGGCCGGGATTTTTTTGAGTGTTGCTTTGTAAGTTTCGTGTCTGATTCCACCCACGTTTAAAACAACACGGTTCTCTGCGTCCATGTTGATTAAGTTCATGGCTATAAATAAAAATATTAAACATTTTCCAGCGAAAAATGGGGCGCAATTAAAGGAAAATACGAGAAAACCGCATATTTCAGCTCTTTTCGTTCACCAACGAGAGTAAGTACATGTCCTCTGAAGAATTTAATTTCCCGTTCTGCGAGTTCCGCTAACAGGATGTGCTCATAGGATTCACCACGACGTCTTACGTCTTTTTATCTTTTTGTAAAAGAAAATGAAACGATATTTATCCTATTTTTATTATTAAAAAGTTTAAATTATTAAACAAATTTTCCAGTATATAATTGAGTTTTTTGTCAAACCCTTTTTCAATTCAATTCAAGGAATTTCCAATCACCGCGGGAGATTTTAGGTCGGAATTGTGCTCTTTTATGTCTTGATTTTGATTGGAAAGGGGAAATAGGTCGACTATGAATAAATTTAAGGGGGAATAAAGCAATTAATTTTAAATGGAAATTAAGGAAAATTAACTTACTTGCTTACGGTAAAACTTTCTGACGACTGTTACACCCATAAAAACAGCCGTTTTTGATCGCTCTCCATCACCCAAGGCATTTTATCTGAAATCAAAAAGAAATAAATAATGAAATCGTGGATATTATCTTAAAGAAAATGAAAAATCCGTTGGAATGAGTACCAACACGGCCTAATTATCTCAAAAAACAACCGAGATACACTCAAATTAACACTAAAAAAAATGACGATCGATACATATATAAATAATCGTATCTCGCTTGTTTTTAAAGATAACCTAGTCGTGTTTGGGGTCATTTTAAATGATTTTTAATGTAAATTAAGGATCTTTAATTATTTTATACATTTTTGTTGAAATTAATTTGTACTTAAACGTCGCTTAATCACTTATTAACAAAAATTACAAATCAGGATTATTCGATTTGCGTGCAGATGAATTATTCAGGGATAAGATTGGGTTGACAGGGCTGGAGATGAGTTGGAATTGGATTTTGGAAATCATTGTTAGGGGCGCAGTTGAGATAGGTTGCTTAGATTCCTCTGCATAGATTTGGGGATTAGAAAATAGTGCTAATTTAACAAATAGAGAGAAATAAATCTTTATTACAGCTATCGACCTAATGTTTTTGCGCTGGCTATAATTATTACAACAAAGAATTTAACAATATTATTATTAATTATCAGATAATCTTTTTTTTTTATTTATAGCTAGATGTACCGATATAAAAGATAGTCTACCGATATACGACTTAATCTACCGATTTTAAAAATTTTAACAAAGCATTATGAAACACATAATACTTAAAATCAATACAATTGCGACAAAAATTGTACCTTATGGGAATACCCTACTTATATTACATAAAAGTATATACCAACGATATGGCAATGTCGCTCTAGCAACGTTGCCAGGTCGTTGGTATATACAGTACGCGTCATAAGTAAACCCCTGCCTAATTTGAAAACGGCTCAAAATATAATATTGTCAAAATAGATATTGACGCATCTAAGAGCAAAAGTGCAAGACAGCAATATTGTTAACAATAAAATTTGCAACAATTTTTCTTATAAAAGTATTCTTATTGCATGCTCCGATTTCCAAATGTTACCTTTAATAACTTGAAAGAGCAACAAATTCATAAAATTTTCATATTTTCGTTTCTATCTCGATATTGACGTATCTAAGAGTAAAAGTGCAAGAGAGCAATATTGTTAACAATAAAATTTGCAACAATTTTTGTTATAAAAGTTTTCTTATAGCAAGCTCCGATTCTCAAGTGTTACCTTTAATAACTTGAAAGAGCAACAAATTCATAAAATTTTCATATTTTCGTATCTATCTCGATATTGACGTATCTAAGAGTAAAAGTGCAAGAGAGCAATATTGTTAACAATAAAATTTGCAACAATTTTTGTTATAAAAGTTTTCTTATAGCATGCTCCGATTCCCAAGTGTTACCTATAATATCATGAAAGGACAACAAATTCATAAAATTTTCATATTTTCGTATTTATCTCGATATTGACGTATCTATGCGCAAAAATACAAGAGAGCAATATTGTTAATAATAAAATTTGCAACAATTTTTGTTATAATAGTTTTCTGATAGCATGCTCCGATTCCCAAGTGTTACCTTTAATAATTTGAAAGAGCAACAAATTCATCAAATTTTCATATTTTCTTATCTACCTTGATATTGACGTATCTAAGAGCAAAAGTGCAACAGAGCAATAATGTTAACAATAAAATTTGCTACAACTTTTGTTCTAAACGTTTTTTTATAACATGCTCCGATTCCCGAGTGTTATCTTTAATAACTTGAAAAAGCAACAAATTCATCAAATTTTCATATTTTCGTATCTATCTCAATATTGCCGCATCTAAGAGTAAAAGTGCAAGAAAACAATATTGTTAACAATAAAATTTGCAACAATTTCTGTTATAAATGATGTCCTATTGTATGCTCCGATTCCCAAGTGTTACCTATAATAACTTGAAAGAGCAACAAATTCATAAAATTTTCATATTTTCGTATCTATCTCGATACTGACGCATCTAAGAGTAAAAGTACAAGAGAACAATATTGTTAACAATAAAATTTGCTACAATTTCTGCTATAAATGATTTCCCATAGCATGCCCCGATTCCCACGTGTTACCTGTAATAACTTGAAAGTACAACAAATTCATAAAATTTTCATATTTTCGTATCTATCTGGATATTGACGTACCTAAGTGTAAAAGTGCAAGAGAGCAATAATGTTAACAATAAAATTTGCTATAACTTTTGTTCTAAACGTTTTTTCATAACATGCTCCTATTCCCGAGTGTTACCTTTAATATCTTGAAAGAGCAACAAATTCATAAAATTTTCATATTTTCGTATCTATCTCGATATTGCCGCATTTAAGAGTAAAAGTGCAAGAGAGCAATATTGTTAACAATAAAATTTGCAACAATTTCTGCTACAAATGATTTCCTATAGCATGCCCCGATTCCCAAGTGTTACCTATAATAACTTGAAAGGACAACAAATTCATAAAATTTTCATATTTTCGTGTCTATCTCGATATTGACGTATCTAGGAGCACAACTGCAAGAGAACAATATTGTTAACAATAAAATTTGCTACAGCTTTTGCTCTAAACGTCTTTTCATAACTTTGTGTTACCTTTAATAACTTGAAAAAGCAACAAATTCATCAAATTTTCATATTTTCGTATCTATCTCGATATTGACGTATCTAGGAGCAAAAATACAATAGAGCAATATTGTTAACAATAAAATTTGCGACAATTTTTGTTTTAAAAGTTTTCTTATAGCATGCTCCGTTTCCCAAATGTTTCCTTTAATATCTTCAAAAAGCAATAAATTCATGAAATTTTCATATTTTCGTATCTATCTCGATATTGACTTATCTCAGAGCAAAATTGGAAGAGAGCAATATTGTTAACAATAAAATTTGCAACAATTTTTGTTATAAAAGTTTTCTGATAGCATGCTCCGATTCCCAAATGTTATATTTAATAACTTGAAAGAGCAACAAATGCATAAAATTTCTTAGAAAATCTTAGAGTAAAAGTGCAAGAGAGCAATATTGTTAACAATAAAAAATACAAATTTAAAATATCTTGGTTCGTTTTTAAGAAAAGAATTTTTAAAGATTAACCTAATTTATTACAAATACGATAAAAACATGAAATATTAAGAAATTTATATCTTCCAAACTAAACGAAAAATTTTAATGAAATATTTCACTATTTAGTGAAGAATTGATTCTAGATTTAAATAAAAAATACAAATTTAAAATATCTTGATTCGTTTTTGAGAAAAGAATTTTTAAAGTTAACTTAATTTATCACATATACGATATTACATGAAATATTAAAAAAATCGTATCTTCCAAACTAAACGAAAAATGTTAATGAGATATTTCACTAATTAGTAAAGAATTGGTTCTAGATTTAAATAAAAAAAAACAAATTTAAAATATCTTGATTCGTTTTTGCGAAAAGAATTTTTAATGTTAACTTAATTTATCATATATACGATATTACATGAAATATTAAAAAATCGTATCTTCCAAACTAAACGAAAAATGTTAATGAGATATTCCACTAATTAGTGAAGAATTGGTTTTAGATTTAAATAACAAATACAAATTTAAAATAACTTGATTGGTTTTTGAGAAAACAATTTTTAAAAGTTAACCTAATTTATCACAAATACGATAAAAACATGAAATATTAAAAAATTCGTATCTTCCAAACTAAACGAAAAATGTTAATGAGATATTTCACTAATTAGTGAAGAATTGGTTCTAGATTTAAATAACAAATACAAATTTAAAATAACTTGATTGGTTTTTGAGAAAACAATTTTTAAAAGTTAACCTAATTTATCACAAATACGATAAAAACATGAAATATTAAAAAATTCGTATCTTCCAAACTAAACGAAAAATGTTAATGAGATATTTCACTAATTAGTAAAGAATTGGTTCTAGATTTAAATAAAAAAAAACAAATTTAAAATATCTTGATTCGTTTTTGCGAAAAGAATTTTTAATGTTAACTTAATTTATCATATATACGATATTACATGAAATATTAAAAAATCGTATCTTCCAAACTAAACGAAAAATGTTAATGAGATATTCCACTAATTAGTGAAGAATTGGTTTTAGATTTAAATAACAAATACAAATTTAAAATAACTTGATTGGTTTTTGAGAAAACAATTTTTAAAAGTTAACCTAATTTATCACAAATACGATAAAAACATGAAATATTAAAAGATTCGTATCTTCCAAACTAAACGAAAAATGTTAATGAGATATTTCACTAATTAGTGAAGAATTGGTTCTAGATTTAAATAACAAATACAAATTTAAAATATCTTGATTCGTTTTTAAGAAAAGAATTTTTAAACATTAATAAAACCACAAAAACTTGAAAAAACAACCTGTGTTCCATTTAAGCGTAAATGTGAGTATGTAGATTTTTTAAATGGTACACCTTTGCATATTTTATCATATTATGAATAGAATTAACTTTGTTTATACAACCGTATATGTTACTAACTCATAACTCATAACATTCATAGTTCATTAGATATTCAATTGTTTTTCCAAAATGTGTCCATTGCAAGATCTTTTTAAAACCTTTTTTTCCAATTTTGCTTTGAAACTATGTCAGATAACAGTCAAGGCCAGTAGGTAAATGATAGTATCCAAAGGTATTAGATACGCTATAGAGCGTGTTCATAAAGCTTAGTTACATTTGATGTTTTTCAAATGGCTTTTTCATAAATTTTTTAAATAGAACACCTGTATATTGTGTGGCGGTTGAATTGTCCATCAAGTTATCTTTAATTAATGATAAGTATGTCATATATCTAACTTTAGTAGTTTTCCTGATATTTAGAATTTAAAGAATAAGGTGTATAATAGAATAAGATGATATACAGGTGTACCATTTAAAAAAAACTTAAGAAAAAGCCATTTGTAAAACATCAAAAATAAATAAGCTTGTATAGTGTATGTAATAGCTTTGAATAAAATCATCTACCTACTGGTTTTCACTAT